CTGACAGAGGTTACCCCATGCTTCAATTTGGGAGGGTTTGGGGGTGAAGGGACCCCTAAATTTCAGCTACCTAAGCTGGCACTGAGCCCCCAACACTGCAGTGAGTAATGCTTCCCCCCACCCCCAAGCATGGGTGTCTTTGGGGACCCCCTGAAACATGATGGGGTGGTGGAGCATCACTTGATCCCCCCAGACCTTCTTTAACCCCCTTTCTCCCACAGAGAGTTCCTAATCTGGCTTTTGGAGGGGTGTTTGAAGCTTTTTTGCCCATTTTCAAGGTGTTAACACTAACCAGGGTGGGTGGGGGGTGACAGCAGCATCAGCCCCCGCCAGCCCCTTGCTTTTGGCTCTGCTGGAATAAACGTTAACCCCCAGAAAAAGCCCTGAGCACATCTATGGGGTCTGGGGATGGGGCCTGGGGAGAACAGGGCTGGGTTTGGGGAACCAGGGCTGGGTTCTGGGGGACCAGGGCTGGGTTTTGAGAGACCAGGAATGGGTTTTTTGGGAACCAGGGCTGTGTTTGGGTGATCAGGGATGGGTTTTTGGTGACCAAGGCTGGGTTCTGGAAAGTTCCTCCCCCTGGACCGCAGTCCCTTGTGCAGGAGAGCGGCTGCTCCCGGGGACATTGTCAGCAACAGAAGGTGTCGTCATGACGATGCCAGAACCCGAACGGCTGGGTGCCCGTTTGGGGCAGTTGGGTGTCCCAGGCCTCTGTTAGGTGCTGAGAGGGTGGTCCCAAGCCCCCAGTGAGGACCCGACCCACCATGGGGATGCTGGTGGTGGGCGCCGAGCACTACGACATGGTGGGCACGGTGGGGAAGGGGACATTTGGGGAGGTAACACTGGGCTGGCGGAGGAGCACTGGGGAGACCGTGGCCATCAAGATCCTGAAGAACGAAGGGCACCACAGCCGGGTGGCACAGAACGAGCTGAGGCTGCTGCAGGCTTTGCGGCAGGTGGATGTGGAGGAGTCGCACATTGTCCGCTTCCTCGAGTCCTTCAGCGATGGTGCCTGTACCCACCTGATCTTCGAGATGCTGGAGCAAAACCTCTTTGACTTCCAAAAGCACAACAACTTCTTGCCGCTGCCCGTCCGGCACATCCGTGCCATCGCGGCGCAACTGTTGGAGGTGCTGGCCAAGCTGAAGGAGCTCTCCATCATCCACGCTGACCTGAAGCCAGAGAACATCATGCTGGTGGACCACGCGCGCTGCCCTTTCCGCGTCAAGCTCATCGACTTTGGCTCAGCCAGCATCTTCAGCGAGGTCCGCCACGTCAAGGAGCCCTACATCCAATCCCGCTTCTACCGGGCGCCGGAGGTCTTGCTGGGGCTGCCGTTCTGCAAAAACGTGGACGTCTGGTCGCTGGGCTGCGTGGTGGCCGAGCTCCACTTGGGTTGGCCGCTCTATCCCGGCATCAACGAGTACGACCAGGTCCGCTACATCTGCTCCACCTTGGGGCTACCACGGGGAGAGCTGCTCTGTGCCGCCCGCAAGACCTGGTCCTTCTTCCAACGGGTGCCGCATCCCAGCGGTTCCTGGCAGCTCAAACCACCGGGTGAGGACACGGCGGAGCTGATGGAGAGGAGGAAATACATCTTCTCCTCGCTGGATCAGCTGGCAGCGGTAAACGTCCGCCTAGTGGCTTCTCCCGGCCAGGAGGCGCTGGCCGAGCGCTGCGACCTGCGCGGGATGGTGGAGCTGGTGAAGAGGATGTTCACCTGGGACTCGCAGGAGAGGATCGTCCCCAGTGCCGCCCTCAAGCACCCCTTCATCTCCATGCAGCAGCTGGAAGCCAGCTTCAAGGCCACCCGGTACTACCAGCTCTGTCAGGAGGACGTGAGGGCATCCCACAAGGGCGCCGGGGCAGAGGAGGTCTTCCCTGTCACCAGGGAAGGCGC